GCGTTTGCTAATAATGTGAGTTTGAAGTGTACTAGAACCACTCAAATTATTCACTTATTTCTTCTTTTACTAGTGCAACAAGTCCCTATATGAGAATCGAGTAAGATTGCTAAATTTGCAATAGTCAACAAGAAAATGAAATTTATTTGCATTGTTCTACTCTAGTGTCAAGTATACTGCAGAATTCTTTTCATTATATTTGGTTTGTACACTAGCAACATGATGTCATTCACATGTTTCAATCATGAAGGACCTTGCATTTTATCAATCGTGGGTCCATCGTCAAGTGTGACGCATTCAGATTCCATATTAAAATATCAATTTTATTAAAAGTAATATTTCATATCTTTAATATTGGTATTATATTTATTCGTAAGTTATATCAAATGTGACATTTAACCCTTAACATCTCGTTTGGAAATATCAATCTCAAAAGTCAATCGCTCCTTTGATTTCTAGATTGATTGAGTAAGCTGTTTGAACTTGTTGTACTTTGAAATTATATTGAACCATGTAATCTTTAAAGTTTGAATTGTTAAAGCGAATCACATTTATATGATTGAAATTAAAAAGAAAAGGATAAACATATTATAATTAAATACGAACGTGTGACATTTGTGACCTTTTACAATGACAATGAAAAGGAAAAGAACAAGTATTTTTTCGCTTCCAATAATATTGATGCGTAATTTCAATTTCAATTTCAATTTCAATTAAATAAATAAATAAAAAAGATATGCATTAGCACAATTAAGAAACTGAGAACAAAGTCAGTAACTATATACTTAAAAATATTTATTTTTAAAATGAAAATATCTAATTTGTGAATAAAAAATATAATAACTGAATTTTTATAATAAAATCTTAAAAACATGGTTTCCTCTAATTTTCTTAAGCCCCATTTTTCTATGGCCAACACGTTTGGTTATTTTTTTGGACTTATAAGCTAGTTTGACCTAGGGCTGTCCATGGGTCGGTTCGGTTCGGTTCTGAAGATACCCGAACCGACCCAAAACTTTCGGGTATTTAATAAATGGACCCGTCGGGTCCAAATATAATTATGGAACCGTTCGAGTTCGGTTCCGTTCGGGTTCGGTTCCGTACCATAATTAAATTTTTTAATATTTTCAGCAACACTACATAAATACAATTAATAACATTTCATTCGTAACTTTTACAAATTAACGTAGCCCAATTCAAAAAAATATACAAAACTAGCCGTCCAATAAGATTAATTCAATGCATACAAATACCAAAAAGTAGATATTAATATTACAGCAAAACTACATAAAGTATATTCATTTGCTTCAAATTAAAATGGGCTAATGTATTTTAAAATGATTTGGGCTTAAAAATTAAAATTATGAAGTAATCTAATTTATTCAATTAATTTGCTAATTTGTATAGGAAAAAAATAAAATAATTTAATTAATTCAATATAAAAAATAAAAAATTTATTTAGTTTCGGTTCTTGTTCGGTTCTTCGGTTCTTGGTCTAGACCTGAGACCCGACCCAAACCCATCGTTTCTCGATTCGGGTACCCGTTCGGGTATTTAATTTATGAAGAACCGCTCGGTTCGGTACGGTTCGGGACTTTTGGACACCCCTAGTTTGACCAGCTTATAAGGCCACCCAAACTAGTCATTCTTTGTAATTCTCTGTGCAGTACATTTCATCATTTTATTTGTTCGTCCAAGTACTCATTGTAGTATAGACGATGAAGAATGAATATGTTCTAACATGTAATCTAAGACTAGTGTTCAAATAACATGTTTTAATTGTTCATCCAATTGTTTCATAACAGGTTTCATTTCAAAAGATTTATTTGTCAAGTGGTGTAGTTCAATTTCTTCGGTAGTTAAATTATTTATCCAAAGTTAGATCAACACAAGATTTTATTTTCAATTTCCATTTATTCTTCTTCGAAAAAATTTTCATGCCATCTTGACTCCTCAAACCGTAATCTATATGTCCCTCTGCCTAGAATCATACAACCTCATCCACCTTTTTACTATGTTCAAAGTTGCGTACCACTTTATGTGGACGAAACTATCTTGAAATCCAATCTTAAAGTTTTCGTCCACCGTGATTCAACTCGTGGCCCACCACATTGATCGGTTATTATTGGGAATTCATCATATCATATGCATCTACGTGTCTAAGCCACTTGTTGAGACTAGGAGATTCATTTCAAAAAATTAACATATTAAGAGAGTAGTCCAATTCTCTTATAAACTCATTATCAATCTCAAGTTCGATAAGTATAGGACATTGTTTGCACTTTACCAACACCTAATTATAGATTAGTTTACAACAACATGTAAGCTAACACCAACTTTTGATACATGAATAGCAAATTATTTGGTAAATATACTTGAAGCATATATGTATTTTATACATATAAGAAATTGATTTTTTTTTATTTTTTTTTGCAACATAAAATAAAATTATCAGGGTCCATATCATTCCCACATGTTATTTGGGTAGTAGCTATCCATTCATCGATTTGTGCAGTGCAATCGATTGCGCTGCGCATTTGTGAGTTGGCTCATATTATTCATCATCGCCACCCTATTGGAATAATAGCCAAATTCATAATGGGAATCCCATATAGCCCTATAAATTTTCAACATAGATAATGATATTGGATGGTTTTTTGGGGGTTTACAGAAAATTGAATTTTTGTAATTGGCTATTGAGACTACATAATTTTGTATGCTTGTATTGACGTGACATCTCCCCACTGCATGTGTACGTGAGTGTTTTGTACGAATAGACTATTAGTAATTGATCTTTTAAAAGTAATGAAGTATACAATACGATTATACGACTCAAGATGATTCTTATGTTAAACTTTTCTTGCTTTCTTTCTTAGAATGAATTTGAGAACATAGACTCTTCAAAATTGTCGAATATTGATACTTTGTATTGAATTCTCTCCTCAAATGCATCTCTGAATTGCAATTCTTCTATCTATTCTAACTTATTGATCAATCGAGTAAGTGCTTTGATCAATTGTATAATGGATAATTATATTATCACTACAAATATTATTTATTACATAACATTATAACTATACCTCAAATAAATTATATTTTTAATAAATACACCACATTAATTTTGCAATTATAGTCCTAATTAAATTAAAACTTAAAATATTATGGTGTTCATCCCTTTTCAATTTTACCTTTCTTCCATTCTCCCTCCCCACCTCATCGGCAATCAAACATTGCCCATGGAAAAAAAAAAAAAAAAGAGCTTTTCCACCCACCACCAATTAGTCCCGAATCCCCCATTAATCCTACCTAGAAAAAGTCAAAAACTTCTCCCACCCCACCAGTATACGCCGATTTATAATTCTACCAAATGAAATACCAACCCCACCTACTGTAAGTACCCCTCCACCACCCTCACCCCATTTCTAATTCTGTCCACACGTGTTTACCCCACTCACCCATATTTACGACGAGTTAATTTTATTAATTACTTACCATCATCAAGTTTTACATACATCACAAAATCAATAAAAAAAATAAACAATCCATTATAATTACCACCAAAAAAATGAAAAAACAAGTGTAGTGAGTGAAAGAAAAGCATATCCACAGTGAAGAAAAAAGTTGCAAAAAAAAAAAAAAAA